GGGAGAAAAGAAATGATGCGGGAAAGTGTCACGGGAACCACGGATACGGCACATGCAATGAAGAAGGCGACGCATTGTGGAATTCACCACAGCGTACCACTTGGCATTAGTCAACAAATACTACATCAAAAAGCATGAACACTAATTACGTATCCAAGTGGAGACCGTCTAACACAAAATGAATACTGGGCAGTGCGTTACAGTGACCTAAAAAACATAAAGGATTGCAAAGTTATCCCAGGTGAAAGCTGCATACCTCAGCATAAGTCACTACTTCTGGACCCAAAAATTCCGGTTAAACGACAAAGAAAACCCATGACGAACAAAATAGCACGAATCAAGCAGTGGAAATTGAAATAGAATTCTCTGGCCAAAAAAGCTCTGTAAGTACTCTACCGGCCTTATGTGGGAAACCAGAACAGTTACGGTCAACCTTGAAGCGTAACATGCATCGGGTAGCAGGGAGTTTACTAGGTCACTAACCCAAGAAGAAGAAGAATTGACAAAGAAACTTGGTGGTGGAACGATGAGGTTCAAACGGTAATTAAGGAAAAGAGTCAGGCATACAAGCAATGATATAAGTCGAAATCGGAAAGCGATCGACAATTGTACCTAAAAATGAAGCACGCTGCAAAAGCATGTGCCAAGGAAGCGAAGAAAGCATACGTAGAAGAAGAGCGCGATATACCGAATAGCGCGAGGGAGGGCAGAGTCCGCAAAGGATATGGAACACTTCCATCTTGTGAAGGATAAGCTTGGAAAAACGTTAGGAAGTCCACAGGAAATAATAGAGAGATGGCGAACGTACTTCGAAGAAATGTCGTCTATTGCCAGCATTGGCACAGCCATCCCACCAGCTGAACCTGCGGAAGGACAGTACCACACACAGCAGAGGAAGTATGGCTTGCTATAGCAAGGACAAAAAACGGCAATTCTTCTGGTCCAGATGACATACCAGGCGATCTGGAAAGAATGCGGATGGCTCGGTGCCTCATGGCTTGCAGACCTCTTCAATCAGGTCATCAAAGCTA